TGATCTCTTGCCGATGGAAGATGATAATTACGCCAAGGATGTGCACCTTGTTTTTTCTCCTGCTTGGGCATCAATGCTAGCGAACAGGGCCTTTTTTTTTCCATAGCAGCAACCGGCCTTTTGCCCCAGCGGCCACGAGGACAAAATGCACAGATCCAATCTGTCCTTCGGCCGAGGAAGGATTTTGCATGAGTCTCCTGTTGCGGTAATTCCAAGGTCCTTCCGGATAACCTCCCACGCTCGATGCCAGAAGAAAGGAGAGGACCAAACATTTTTTTAAACTAGTAATAATAAAAATGGTCCATCTTCTCCCTCACAAGATTCTCAGCCTCCCGGCTGGAGATCTCAAGAGATGAGGACCATTAAAGGAAAAACCGGATGGAGACCAGCGTGGTGTTGCCAAGCCCCGGCTGAATGCATAGGAGAACCGGCTTTTCTTGATTAAGCCGAGTTTAAATGATGGTTTGCGAACGCTGCCGGAGGGCGGGAGGGGGGAAGTTCTGGTTGAGCAACTCCTCGTCTTCGTGCCAAGGAAGCGCCCGTTCCTCTCTTCTGGAATGTTCTTCGTACCACTCCTGAGAACGGAAGACGGGGTGTCATTACGCTAAGCCGCCAAGGTGGGCCCACCCAAGGGAGAACAAAACAGAAGCCCTGGTATCAGGCAGACCCCCAAAAATGTTTATGGAGGCCAAGCCGGAATCGGATAAATACAGGATACCGATGGTAAGAGGTGGAAGGGGCCTTAGAGGTCCAGTCCAACTCCCACTCAAGCAGGAAACCTTTTCACCATTTCAGACAAATGAATATCCAATTTCTTAAAAAGTTCTAGTGAAGGACTATCCATAATTTTCAATTGTCCTCTCCTCTCCTTATTCTATTCTACTCTACTTTATTCTGTTTTATTCTACTCTACTTTATTCTATTCTATTCTACTCTACGTTTAGTCTATTATTATTATTTCTACTCTACTTCATTTCATTCCATATTTCCTATTCCATTCCATTCTACTCTACTCTATGTTTAGTCTATTATNTCGCCAAGACATCTCCAATTTTACGTGGGAGAAAACCCGAATAACTAAAGACCTACATATATTATTTATATATATATTTCGTTTTCTACCCAGGGTAGAAAAACATGGAATTTTAGTCTTATTTGTGACGTGACTGTAGTTTCCTTCCAGTTATTAGTGTTTGAATGCTAAAATTAAGCTCGGCAGCGTTCAATCTCGCGCGTTCCTAACTGGGAAGGCCCTGCTGTCGATCGGTGTTTCTCAAAGCTTACCAATTTGAAAATGTGTGGACCTCAACTCCCAGAATTCCCCAGCCAGCATGGGGAATCCGTATACATTCTCAAAATGGAGAAAAAAAACCCTTTGCTCTAGATTTTGATATTTGCTTAGCCAATGTTACCAAGCAGATTCTCATTAACAAGCCTGAATGTGCAAATAGCGTGTAAAACACACTGCGGGCACGTTCAACGTTTGGGCTCTTGACGGGCGAGCAAGGAAACTCCAAATTGCAACGGCGGTCAGCATTCATTTCCATTTAGTGACGCCGGCAAAACGGTCAGTCAGATGAGGATCCCCCACGTTCCTCTTTAAAAAAAACCCCAACCAACCGAGAATATTGCTTCAAATCCAAAGCTGTTTTGGAGTCACTGTGCGCCCTACAAAAACTCCTGCAGACTCCGTCAAGAAGCTGGGCATTCCTTGGTTGTGCATTATCACCGCACAATCCCAGGGAAATGTGTGTTCTAGTTAGCAAGGACAGATGGGATAGTTCGTAAAGTACTTTGGGGATCTCTAGGCACACGCAGTCAGCATATTCCGTTTTAAAACTTTATTTCCAAGGAACGGGGAGGGGAAAGGTGCAATTATTTTGCGAGCCCTGAGAAAGATAACCCTTTTTCGCACAAATTCCTATGTGTGTGAAAAAGACTTTTCTCAAGGCCTGCAAAATAGGTGATTTCGAGATTCCCTACCCATTCTGAAAATCCATTTTTGCTTGGAAGCCAAAACATTAAAGGTAAAGGTTCCCCTCGCACATATGTGCTAGTCGTTCCCGGCTCTAGGGGGCGGTGCTCATCTCCGTTTCAAAGCCGAAGAGCCAGCGCTGTCCGAAGACGTCTCCGTGGTCATGTGGCCGGCATNTTTTTTTTTCATTTAAAGGAAGCGTATATGATCAATGACCAAGTCATATTGACAGTCATATTATAAACTTAATTTTTTTTTCCACATGAGTTTTATTAGTTCTACCCATTCTTTCCCTCTTTACTATGTTGGTGATGAAAAGTAGGTGAGGAGAGATAAATGAAAGTGATGAAATTTTAAACAAGTTGATTTTCATGAGAAAAACTATCTTGCAGATGTTCCACATTACGGAAATGGCCACCTGTATCCTAAACCGATTTTCTTATAGGCTGGTCATAAAGCAGCCTAGAGATTTTTGGATAAATGTATTAGCTTGGTACAAACCATTAGCATACCCAAAAGGAATTAAGTGAGCATGGATGATTCTAGATCCATGATGGCGAACCTGTGGCATGAGTACCAGAGGTGGCACACAGAGCCCTCTCTGTGGGCATGTGCGCAGTCACCAGCTGCACCTCTGGGTTCCGTTGCATGCATGCTGGTCTGGTGTGCATGCGTGCGCAGCCAGTTGCTCTCTTCAGGGTTCCATTGTACGCATTCATGAAGAACAGCTGGACAGCACGCATGCACACACCAGAACCTGGAAGAGAGCAGCTGGCCGTGAGCACATGTGCACTGGCCAGCTGCTCTTTTCCGTGTTTTGGTGGTCCGGCACGCGTGCGCTAAAGGCACATATGGTCCTGTGTCAACATTCAGTGCCAAAAAGGTTAGTCTCCACTGTTCTAGAGGAAATACTAATTCCATATCTCCAGTGTAGGCTGTTGAAACGAGAGAGGAAAAGACGACTACTGGAACAGAACAAGGTGCAGGAACAAATTAATATTTCAATTCATGTCTAGAGCAATCATTATGGAAGAGAGAAGCATTCATACCTTATATTAACTAGGAAATAAGATTCCAAAGTAGTTGTATGAATTAGCTCTTTAGATATAAGCAGATAAGCTAAACAGGATGGCATTTAGTTCCCAAAGATCTTCTTAGTCCCAGAGTGGAATAGAAATATGTGACATCAATCCTGAAGACTGGCAGCAATACAAGACCTCGGAATGTACATGGCTAGGTATAGATACTGGGAACCAAGCCTTGTGTACTGAGGTGATTATTTGCTGGTCTTCCTTTAGGCCAAGGATATAAACTGTGACGCTGAGGGAAATATGGTCCCCCGACTCCTTGCCAAAGTGAGGTATGTTTATCTATGTGCGTTAGTGTGAGGCAGGTTGTGAAATATAATGGGTGCCATTTCATCTATTAAAGCCCCGGGAGCCTCCAAATACAGATCTTACCCCTGCCTGCATTGGAGTTATCCTATATGTTGTGGAAAGCCTACTGTGGCTGTACAGAATATGTGCATCTCCCTTTTCCTTGAAAGCAGCATCCAAAGTCCTTAATACTGTGAGCAACCTCTGCATAAAATGTTGCTTGCTTTAAAATATGCTGATGTTGACATGTATTGAATATAGCCAGCTTGCAGAGAAGAGAGCTCCGGTACCAGTGAAGGAATACGTGGATGAATTATTCTATCGTTAGGTATTGTTGACAATATATTTGAGAGTGTTTCAGTCGGTATTCACCTTTATAGATATATTAGTACAGCCTTGTTCTATAAAGATGAGGTTGATTGAGGAACATTTGCAAGTATAGACAATAAGTGGGAAACCCTAACCCTTCAAATATTTACTCTTGATATAGTTCTGCATATTTCTTCATAGCTGAAAAAGATGCTTGTTTGCATGGGATGCTTGTTGCATGGGAAGGCGAACACATTGCTTGCTTCATGTTCCTCAAGTGTTTTGTGATGAAGTGACTGTGTAGTCTACACAGCTTAAAATCCAGTACTATTAAACAACACTTATGACACACATGGTGCAAGAAAATAAACAAGAATATAAAATAGAATTAACATTTAAACTAATGGAGAGAGACAGAAAAATAAAACATTGGGGATAGTAATCGAATTGAATGTGAGTCAGCAATGAGTCAGAATAGGAGAGAAACCATATAATTAGCACCAAAAAAAAAGTATAGTGCCCAAGAATGAGAATAGGAAAAGACTACTTTGTCCAGCCTTGGCATAGCTAAGCATTATGTTAAAAGAGTAAAATCTGCTGTGAAACCTAAGACAACTGTTACAGACAATAAGATAAAATACAGCAGGTTTCAAAGAACAATTAGAAGAGAAATATAATGATTGTGAAAATAATTGTCTTGTTGAATAGAAGACATATTGGAGAGTTTCCTTCTGCAGAGATGTTGAAGAAAAAGTTGTGTCACTCTGNGTGCTGGATGAAAACATACAAATACAAATACAATAGCAGAGTTGGAAAGGGACCTTGGAGGTCTTCTAGTCCAACCCCCTCTCCTAGGCAGGAAATCCTACACCACTTCAGACAAACGGGCCATTTTTCGGCCATCTTTCTGCCCTCCCCAGCCCCCAGGAGCACTCTACAAGCCTCCTAAAGGCTATGCACGGCCATTTTGGTGAAGGAGGCGGAGTTTCGGGAGGCAAAAAATGCTGTATTCAGTGTATAAAATGCACCCAGATTTTCAGCCTCTTTTTTGGGGGGAAAAAGGTGCATCTTGTATTCCGAAAAATACGGTAGGTAATATCACTGATGATGTTACCTAGTTTGGTAATGAAATGTCTGCAAGAAAACCATCAAGCTCAGAGAGCACCAAGGACAGCAGACCACAAGATGTTGATGAAAAACCAGTTCCCATCATCCCTGGCTGAGATTTTTTTAAAAAGTTAGGACCTAAACCAATTCAGTTTTAATATAGCAAACTGCACTGATGTATGGGCAAACGGAATCTGTGTCTATGCTTTCAGAGAGAAGGAAGGTGGAGATACTTACTTACAACAGTTTGGGTAGAGTTTTCCAGAGAAGAATTCCATGCCAACAATGGCAAAGCAGTAGTAGAAGATGAGTAAAGTTAGGCCGAGGCTAGAAGAGAAAGGAGAGGGTTAGGAAAAGCGCCATTCAACAAGGTGGCTTTTTCACAGAATAACAAGAGTTGGAAGGGACCTTGGAGGACTTCTAGTCCAACTCCCTCCTCAAGCAGGAGACCTCATACCAGTGCTGGTGAATCTTTTCAAGTGCGGAAAACACGGCTATCATGTCACCTCTAGTATGTACGTACGTATATAGCATACTGTGTTTCGCTAAAAATAGTGCTTATTTTGGAGCGCCCAAAAATATAAGACTAGGAAAACATCTTGTGGTGTGTGTGTGTGTTTGTGTGTTATGAGCCGAGGTGGTGCAGTGGTTAGAGCGCAGTACTGCAGCCACTTCAGCTGACTGTTAGCTGCAGTTCGGCGGTTCAAATCTCACTGGCTCAAGGTTGACTCAGCCTTCCATCCTTCCGAGG